CAAATTCACTACTGCTGTCGTCAAACCTTTGTCACAAACATGAGTGAAGTAGCGGAGACAGATCTCATATAATCTTCTGTTCCATAGCATATGCTCGCGCTGTGCCATAAGGGGTGGATAAACACTTCTCTCGAATACCACGAGATGGTTTAACCACTTCTCTTCTGGGAGTGTTGATATGGCCAACTCGAGAAGGTTCTTGTGGTTGAGATACTCGGCCATAGCTATGGCTGCTCCATGGGCTTCTGCGTCTGATCCTGCCCTTGCGGGAACTGGGCAGTATCTTGACGCTTGTACAGGGAGAACCAGCTGCAAATATCTCTCTAGAGAACCGCGCACGAGCAAGTCAGCCTCTTGTTGAGAGAAAGATAATGGCCCAGAAGCTCCTGCATCGTGAAGGAAATCTTTCACGGTACGATGCAGTAGCTGTATCGTGAATCGTGGGCTGACCTCGGTGTTTTCGCTGAAACTGAACTTCTGATGGTGGTTTTGGGGGACTATAATCTCAATGAATGGCCCACACCTGACTCGGAGTTGCCGGTAAAAACCAATCCAGGTCTTCGCCCTAACACTCAGCTTAGCGCGAATCATAGGGTCTTCTTGGTGAAGAAGGAAGTCCGGTTCGAGGACTAGTGGAACAGATATTGCTTCATAAAGCTCGTCCAGAGCAAGAGGTCGAATAGCACTCGCACCTACAACCCACATCAGTGCCATTCTAGTCTTGTCTAGGCCTTCCGGATACCGCGTCTTCAGGTCACGCAAGATGAGGTTGTAGAAGTTGACCAAGTCCATCGGCAAAGAACGTAAATCCGCCTCCAGCTCTCGTGTGTTGTAAAGGGCACCTCTAACACGTTCAATGAGTACTTGTATGGTGAGCTTTATCCACAAGATGACACCTTGAGTGTGCTCCAGAAGAAATTCGCGCATTCTTTCGAAAGCTCGATCGTCATCATCTTGTGCAGTGCTTATCTGGGGCGAGAGGTAGTGTCGCGTGTCCAGCTCATCCTCTGTGTCCGTCTCAAGTTCGCTCATAGCTTCCTTTAGCGCAGCCAAGCCGTTATCGATCAGTAGGGCCACGTCCAGAGTGTTTTCTCGTTCTAGAACCAAGTGAAATAATTTCTCCTCCTTTTTCCAGATCTGGTGTAGAACTCGATCAATGTCCGCTGTGTAACGACTCAGTACAATGAATCGAATTTGTGAGCCAGTTGGCTCTACCAAGCGCGCCATAAGGGTAATGACCCGTCGCCTTAAGTAAAAGCTGCCTTGGTCGTCATCGGATTCGTCCATGGCATCTACGATACAGATAGCCCGGGTGCTATGTGCAGCCATTTTGACCAGTATGTTCTCGTAATCCTCGAACTCCCAGCTTTCGCTTTGGTTCTTCTTTTCACGATACACAGACGCGTACATTGGAAAAACATTCTTGTTTTGTTCCAATAACTGACGAACAATGGATCTCAAGAAATAGACATGAGATCTTGTGATGCGTCCATGTCGTGTGCTGTAGAACCAGTCGCTAATTTGAGGCAGCGGAATTCCACGACGATCTGAGTCCCACGACTCTGAGAGTCCAGCCTTAATAGTTTTAGCGAGGACGGACTTCCCGCTCCCAGCTTTTCCTTCAATCCACAGTACCCCAGATGACTTATTTTGCCACGCGAGGAATGCTGGATGAGTCCATATCCAGGTGTTCGTTCCTGTATCTGCAGCACTTACCTCGTCTCTGCGTAGACATTGTCCCTCGAATTGCAAGTTGCCCAGACATTCTGCATTCACTCATCAGCATGTATAGATAGTTTAGCTAGAAGATATGCATTTGCTCACCGTCACGCTCAGTGTACCTGTTCAGTACTTGGGAACTCTTGACACCCGGAAGAGTTGAGGTCTGGTCGAGCGTACTTAGGATGAGGAAGACTCGTACACCAAGGGTTACTGTGCTATTGCACAAATTTGCGAGAAACTCGATTGGCTCCCTACCGATGGTATGGAGTAAAACGTCAGCACGACAGACAGTGATGACAACAGGGCTACCCTGTATCTTGATCAAGTTCCAGAGGAAGTCCTTGAGTTCACTGACTTCTGGTATCTTACTTAGGCATGAAGTTTGTGGATCTACCACTCCATTCCAGTCCAGAAACAGGCCCATCGAACTAGTTTTCCATAGCAGAGCTTGAGAGACCAAAGACCATAGGAAGCTTTGCAGTGGAGACATGACAAATGGTTCATCGTTTTCACTCTTCTCAGTCGGTGTATAGAAAAGGTAAACTCTTTTGATCCGTGATAAGCTGGGCGTCTTGCCTGATACCTCTCCTTGCTGTTCGTTTCCAGGTACAATGGGCAGACCGAGAAAGCTTGTTCCTAAACCGGCTTCAGACGTGGGAATTGCGTACTGGCGCTTAATCTTTCGCTTGCGTTTGCGTAGTACCGGTTCGTTTGGTCTCTGAAAGGACCTGTCCAGCTTCCTTGCTTGAGCAATCTGTTCCACCCGGCGCTTTACCTCCCATCTCTCAAGATCCCCCAAGAGGGATATCGTGATATCTTCGCATTCGTGTTCCAGGTCGACACCAGCACCGACTTCTGGATCTATGGTTTGATACCATACGATGTTCTCCAGCTCTGACACAAAGCGCTCGTAAGGAGCCGTGTGAGAAAGCCAAGAGGGGGTATCTGGTGTGGCTTTAATAATCTCAGAAAGCTTGGCGTTCCACTCTTTGGATGTGACGTTTGTATCTAGTATGGTAGCTAACACACCATGTACTGATCTCGGAAGATGTCTCAAAGCAGCTTGAACAATGCAATCTCGCCCTTCGTGAACGTCAGTGTCGGTCGGAATGTCCTCATCCTGGGAAAAACTAACACGGTTCGTTCTGAGAGGCAGTTGAATTGTTTGCAAGCTTTGGGGACGCAGTATCCCAGCTTTGTGCACTTGCGAATCCCGAGCCTGAGTCTGCTGTTAGCATCTTTAGATATCATGGAGGCAAAGGATTCGTACTTGCAACGGTTGAAGGAAGAAGTTGTCTGTCGGTTCGAATATACTTTTCAATAAGAGCTTTCATCGTAGCAGCAGCCGTTGCGGCAGCGAAAGTTTGCCACAACTTATCTTTATGACTGTCCGCATAATCGCAGACACCCTTTACAACAAGACACGGCAGCTCTTCCCAGAACCCAGCCCCCTCCATTTCAAACGCGATGACGTTCTGTTCTTTCGCAATCCTATCTCTGTCTTTTCCAGATTTCATAACAGTATCGCCTGAGGCAATACGGCCGACAAAAATAAGTGGCTCCTGGATATCTATACGCTCTTTCTGCTTTTCGAGTTCATGCCTCATTTCAAGGCGTCTCCGGGGCATCAGATTGGCATCCCCACATCCAGTTTGGCTACATGGAATACTAAGCGCCTCCTGGCAGACGGGATCCGAAAGTACCTTCCATTGGCTGCAGATACAGGAACATGGACCATGATGTCTATGTCTGTGGTCCGGCGCGAAGAGTTTGTCAGAAGCAGCTCCTGGGTAGTTGTAGTTGCTGCGGCGCCTTTGCGAAGCTCGTTGCTGAAGCATGTGCAGAAAATACGAAGTCCTCTGTTGAAGGTGTCCTAAGCCGGCTTCAGAGCGGAGAAAAGCGAGCAAACCTCGAATATCTGTATTCGGCCGACTGAATCCTTCCCCGATGGCCGTTTTGGTTGCGAAAGAATCGGGGTATCGACGACCGTAGTCATATTGAACTACTGTCTCACTGATGATGACGTCGCCCAACAATATCTCGTCGTTGTTCCCGGCCCTTGGTACTCCACCGCATATGCCGACTAGAAGGACCAGCTTTATATCAGTGTAACTTGCACGGAGGCCCCCTACGGCAACGGCGGCGTTCACTTTTCCCATGCCAGGCAGCAGCGCAACAACAACATTATGAGTTCCTATGCGGCCAGTCGTGTAACTATTACTATCTCCAACAGCTCTGCCATAAGAATCCCCAGTTTCATCCCAGAACTCGTCAACTAGGAGGGTGACAGCATCGTACTCAAGTGGTAAGGCGCACACAATAGCGATGTCAAATTGGTTGCGATATTCAGGCCGCCGTCGCCAGCCTTGCTGAGAATGTGGAGAGTCGCTCACCGAACGCTGGGGATCGCTCATGGCAACTTCGACGGCCGAAGCCGGATATTCAACCCAAGACTACTGGACAAAGATGATCGTATTAGCTTGATGGAATGAATGTCTGACATGGCAAGTGCTTCTGCTAACTACCAAAGCCGTAGGTCGATAGCCTGGTGCGGGGCAAACACCAGCACGTGATAGTGGTGACTAGGCTGGCGCACGATGTTGGCGTTTTTGAATGTCTGATCGAGTAACTATAGTAACCGAATGCGTGCACCAACAGCCAAAGCTTCACAAAAGCCCTCAAATGTCACATAAGACCAGAATTTTTTGGTATTGCTTATCATTCCTGCTCCATAAGGGGACTGCCAGCATCCTTACAAGTAAGCAGGAGATGGATTGTCTTTGAGAAACAACATCAAGCCTTCCCAGCAGAGATTGACTATCGCACTCTACCGCACTGGTAGCTCTTTGAGCTACGTCTTGTTGTAGTACCTGCCTGTAGGGCTACTGCCTGTCGTAGATAGCTATACTGAACCAATTCGATACCTGAGTAGCTGCTCCTCCCCTGCCTGTACCGTACCGACGTTGGTGCGACCAGAACCCGACCCGTGGCAACACAGCGTTGAAAACAAGGCTTCTGTAAAGGGTATTTTCACCACCTGCCCTCCGGCTTGCCCCTGGGAAGTTGACGGGCACGTGACGCATGAATAACGTGCCCTCGCGTATATCTACAAGTCCTCGTCCAAAGTTACTCTATGAGGGTTTCGTCGCAAATACAAGTTTTTGGGTAATGTAGTACAAATAGAAACAAGACTGGTAATTCGCTTTATGTCTATTCTTCTACTAGCGGTACTCTCTAGAATGAGGGACAAGAAATAGGTAAAGAATTGCTCGAACATAGTCGTCAGAATCTTACTCTTGTATTCCTAAATCTATCATTGAATATCATCGCGTATCCTTTTCCTCGGAGAAATCTTGAGAAGCACTCGATGTTTCAATACTTGTTGTGCTTATTCCCGCCGACTCTATTTCACATGTTAGCGACCTCGCCGCCTTCCCCTTTATTAATGGAAGATACGTCCTTGAGTACCAAGACCAAACATGTAAGTTGATACTCGTATTATCACGTGTACATCATCCTATATAATGATGGAAGGAAAAAGAAATCTCGTAATATCATATTCATCCGCCCACATCTCACATGCCCATGCACCATCTATTTCCTAAACAATGTATTCCCTGACCCTACTAGCGGATTAGGCTGAAACTCCATATCGGAGCCATTGGCAAAAAGCGGCGTGGTATCATCATCCACCTTACTCTTTGGCTTGAGTTCCTCTCCTCTCGCAATCTCCACAGTACTAATAATCGGCAGAACAAGCAGCAGCAACGGAAGTAACTGCCCGAAACTCCAGTTGCCCTCACTGGGCCCAACAAGATGAACAGACTCGGGAGGCGAGCCAAACGCCTGGGACTCAAGGACTACACGCGTTGTTGCCCCGATACCCATTGCAAGGCACGCAAAGAGTCCGATTACTTGCACGGTCTTGAGCCACCGCGGGTTGGACCGGTTATGCAGGTACCAAGTTGCAAAGCCAAACGTAATAACCTGGCCAGCGATAACAGCGATGGTACCCGCGATACTCAGCGCAGCGTTGTCAGACGACCCCTTACTATCTATATGCCAAACACACGCAATAGGGAGCCTGGGCGACATATTCTTCATGACTGTCTGCAAGATGAAGATGCCAGAGAGGATCCCAAGCGACATATTGACGAACATGAGGAACTGGCGTATCCAGCGGAGCACCCAGTCGCGCTTGAAGTCGTTGACGAGGGCGAGCAGCGTGGCGAGATTCGTTGCGGTGGAGAGTAGAGACAAGAGCCAGATGATGAAGAAGTGGTAGGGCACCATTGTGTTCATCTTTGCGAGCCCGACGGATTGGATTCCGATGCCGGTGAGGATCTGCTGGTCCGAGAAGGATTGCAGCAGCTTGCGCGATATCGGTGCCGATGTGGATTTTCGGAGGCCGAGCAGGATGATGGTGGCGGAGAGGAGGATTGAGAGGATGTTTGTGATTATGAAGGATAATAGGGTCTGCGAGTGTGTGTTAGTATTAGTTGGGTGGGGGGTTGATTGCGAAAGGGAAGAATGGAAGTGTGCTTACGCCTGCACCCGCAACTCCAGCATCTGTATTGGTTGTATCTGGGATCTTCGAGCAGTCCAGCGACATCGTTGCTTTGGGTTCTGTGTGTTTCCCTTCTCTTGTTGTTTCTTGACTTCTACTTTCACCTCTCGTATCCAGGAGAAGCAAGTCGTTGTGTGGAACGACCGGATCGCAGTCGCAGTGCTATTCACAAATATAGTCTCAAAAAACAGGCGCGCGTTGATCGATATCCCGCAAATAACGATGCGACGTCGTCAAAAGCCACCGACAAAGAGAAGAGAGTGTAGAAAGAGCGTGAGATAGAGCAACGGTGGTGAAAGGAACATGCGCAAAGCTGCCATACACCACCAGAGGGCGCACAGCCTCATCCTATGTCATCATCAAGCGCCAGGGTCTCGTATATCTCAATCTAATTCAAGTCGCATTGGCGAGCGTGCAATGCCGTGAAGGCCAGGGGTTAATGATCGGCGCTGTGAAACAAGGCAGCACCACAGCCAATAGTTGGCCTGTGGCTACTTCGATCCGTGGCGCGAGAGCGCTTAACATGCGACATGGGATGATTGGGCGAAACGCTCAGGCAGGCCAGTCAGAACGGACATACAGCACTTGGCAGAAAAAGATGGTAGGAGGCTGAAAACATGCACACATACAAAGTGGATAGAAAAAGGACATTTGCATCTAGAATTAGGTGGCGGCTGCTGTGCATACAGGGTCCAACTGCCGGCAGCACTAAGCCTTGGAGAGCTAGCACGCATCCCGAATTAGACATTGGCTATCCTTGTCCTTCGTTCCACACTGTGCAGTCAAATACCGTCCTCTTAAGACCACAAAATATGTAGCTCGTAGCTGGGACCTTGAGATGGACAGCAGAGGAACCAAAGTCCTTCACATCATGCCAAGGGTACGGAAATTAATCGATCTGATGATCAACACATAACCAATCCCATCACAAGTGCAAGTCTGTGGCAAATTTTCATGTCCTTGTCCCGCAGTGGGAAGTGGTATCTCTACCATGTCGTTATTTTGGCTCTCGTCTAGCGACTGCTCATAAAGACGTCAAACCGTGAACCGAGCCCAAACCCTACCGTCATGATCATGCATACTCTTCGTCAAATAGTCATCAAAGCACCTGGTAGCAGTCGTCTACAACTTCTGCATGGCAACAATGTCGGTGGACTGAACGTGGTCCTCAAACTCCTCAATCTGTTGCTGGAGTTCGTCTAGCGAGACCTTCTCGTCCTCGACGACCAAGTTGATCTGAAGCTTCTTGATACCGAAACCGACAGCAACCAACTTGGAGGCACCCCAGACAAGACCGTCCTTCTCGATGGACAGAACATTGGCCTTGAGCTCGTCCATGTTTGTCTCGTCATCTACAAGTTGTCAGCACTGTCAATGGCAAAAGGTGCACCTTCAAAAACTTACCCCATGGCTTAACGTCAAGGGTGACAATGGACTTGGCAGCAGGCTTGGTCTTGCCAGCCTTCTTCTTGTTGTACTCGGCCAGACGCTCCTCCTTGATCCTGGCGGCCTCGGCATCCTCCTCCTCGTCTTCACTGCCGAACAGGTCGATGTCGTCGTCATCCTCAGCCTCCTTCTCAGGAGCCTTGGCGGGGTTCAGGGGCAGCTCTGAGGACTCGGGGCCGTAGGCAGTGAACTCCTTGGTTGGGTCACCAGGGAGCGAGTCGAACTCACCCTGGAAGGTGAGGATGTGGTTGTACCAGCGCCATGCGTACGGGTACTTCTCGGGGGCAGGGATCTCCTTGATTTGCTGGAAGACCTTGACATCGGCCTGCGATGGGGAGTAGCTGTGGCATGTTAGTCGATGACTCGCCAATGTCGTGTGAGAGCAATGCAGCAGAAACAACAACTGGATCAGAGGTGCGACAAGCGCTTGGGTTTGTATTCAGATAGCGGGGTCTTAAGCCGCCTCATTAACACGGACCAAATGTTCTCATCATTCGAGGGTTGGGCAGGGATTGAAGGCGATGCAGAGGGAAAGCACACAGTGTGCATGGTGGGGTAGCAACTTACCCAACAATGTAGGAGCGCGTCCTCACATAGCTGTTGAGGAGGGTCAGGCCCGCATCGGTAACGAGGTCGGTGAAGCCCATGTTTGCAGGAATGAAATGTGCGTATTGGAAGGAAAGAATCGAAGAGTTGTGGTTGAAGGAGGAGTCAAAGTTTTTTTACAGCCTGGGGCTGGGAGGAGATTGCTTTCGGACGCACGGCCCCGCGCTAGTACGTGCTCGACCATGATCGAGGGGCAGCCTTCACCATGCTCGCATAACCGCTCGTGGCCTCTTATGCACCTCGGCCCTTAGTGCTGTCATCACCCCGGCCTCATGTTTTTTCCCTCTGCCCTTGGGCTTGTCTGTAGAACTCGTGCCGTCGTTGGCCTGGCCCGCCGCTCTTAGACGTAGAAGGTCATCGAACCACCGCGCATTTTCGCCCTCTCCCTCGCCTGAGCTCGCGCCATCCATTGACCAATACTATATTATGCCATCTCCATCTGCCTCCCAATTGAGCTTGCTCTTATTCTGAAATCCACACATGTCAAAATGCTGACCAGTAGAGCACGTATAGCCGCAAGGCGCATCGCATCGCCCTCCTCCATCGCACGGCAACTTCCCCTTCGCACTTCGCCATTATGCCTCAACACATCAGTGGCCTCGCCGTCCCAGCAACACAGGATCCTGAGGCCGCTGGCGTCTACTCGAGGGTATGCGAATGGGAGCCGACCGCATCCTCCTGGTGGCACTCATCGCATGAACCTTGGTGGTGAGCCAGAGAAGCCCGCGTTGGAGCAGTACGGAATAGACCTTACGCAGCGCGCGCGAGATGGCAAGTTAGATCCCGTCATAGGGCGAGATGGCGAAATACAGCGCACAATACAGATTTTATCGCGACGAACCAAGAACAACCCCGTCTTGATCGGAAAAGCCGGAACAGGAAAGACAGCCATCCTTGAGGGCCTAGCCCAGCGCATTGTCAAGGGAGATGTGCCTGAATCGATACAAGAGAAACGTGTCATCTCCCTTGATCTCGGTTCCCTAATCGCTGGTGCGAAATTCCGAGGTGATTTTGAAGAGAGACTCAAGAGTGTGTTGAAGGAAGTCGAGGAAGCCAACAAGGGCGTCATTCTGTTTGTGGATGAATTACACACCCTGTTGGGCTTGGGCAAGGCAGAGGGCAGTATCGATGCCAGCAATCTCTTGAAGCCTGCGCTCAGCCGTGGAGAGCTGCAGCTTTGCGGAGCAACCACGCTTAATGAATACCGTCAGATCGAGAAGGACGCAGCGCTCGCAAGACGATTCCAGCCTATCATTGTTGGCGAACCCACGGTTCAAGACACAATCTCCATACTTCGTGGCATCAAGGAGCGATACGAGGTCCATCACGGTGTGCGCATCACCGACAACGCTTTGGTCGCCGCCGCTTCCTACAGCAATCGATACATCACCGACCGCTTCCTTCCTGACAAAGCAATTGACCTGGTAGACGAGGCTGCTAGTGCGCTACGTCTGCAGCAAGAAAGCAAGCCAGACGCAATCCAGGAGCTCGATCGCCAGATCATGACTATTCAGATTGAGCTAGAATCACTCCGTAAGGAGACCGACATCGCTAGCAAGGAGCGACGGGAGCGCCTCGAGGAAACGCTCAAACAAAAGCAAGAAGAAGTAAAGGTATTGACTGAGAAGTGGGAGAAGGAGCGAGCAGAGCTCGAAGCTATCAAGAATGCACAAGAGAACCTCGAGCGGGCAAAACTCGAGCTTGAACAAGCCCGCCGCGAAGGCAACTTTGCCAAGGCTGGTGAACTGCAATACAGCAGGATCCCAGAGCTGGAACAAAAACTCCCCAGAGATGAGGAAGTGACTGCGGGAGCTAGTCGCCAGGGATCCCTGTTACACGATTCTGTTACGGCAGACGACATTGCATCTGTTGTCTCCCGGACGACTGGTATTCCACTATCCAAGCTCAATTCCGGAGAGAGCGAGAAGCTCATACACATGGAGGACACCTTGCGTCAGTACGTAAAGGGCCAGGATGAGGCCCTGACATCTGTTGCAAATGCGATCCGTCTTCAAAGAGCTGGGCTATCTGGCGAGAACAGGCCTATTGCCTCCTTCATGATGTTGGGACCAACTGGTGTAGGAAAGACTGAGGTTTGCAAGAGACTCGCAGAATATCTGTTCAGCACACCGCAAGCTGTAATCCGTTTCGATATGAGCGAATTCAGTGAGAAGCACACTGTCTCGCGTCTTATTGGATCTCCTGCCGGCTACGTCGGGTACGAGGATGCTGGCCAGCTTACTGAAGCTGTGCGACGAAAGCCATACGCCGTTCTCCTCTTTGATGAGTGGGAGAAGGCTCACAAGGACATATCGACCTTGCTCCTCCAAGTCCTCGATGAGGGCTTCCTGACAGATGCGCAGGGCCACAAGGTGGATTTTCGCAACACTATCATTGTCATGACATCTAACCTTGGGGCTGACATTATTGTCGGTGACGATGCCATTCACTCCATTAACAAGGACTCAAGCGAGATCTCACCCGCAGTACGCAGCGCCGTTATGGATGTTGTTGCTGCTACATACCCACCCGAGTTCCTCAACCGCCTCGATGAATTCATCATTTTCCGTCGTCTTTCTCGAGAAGCGCTTAGAGACATTGTCGATATACGTCTGAAAGAGCTTCAGCAGCGACTAGATGACCGTAGGATTGTTCTCGAGTGCCCGGACGAGGCCAAACAATGGCTATGCGACCGAGGGTACGACCCAAAGTTTGGCGCGCGGCCCTTAAACAGATTGATTGCCAGAGAGATTGGCAACAGTCTAGCAGACAAGTTGATCCGTGGTGAGATTCGCAGTGGTGACAAAGCCATTGTTTCGATCAAAGAAGGTGGTGCAGGCCTCACGGTTTCTGCCGCAGTTTGATGCTGTATGACTAATGACGACATGACTGTATAACAAACTACAGACGGACTATTGCATATATATAATGTAGCATCATCGGCGTTTGTAGGTAAAAAAAATTCTCTGTAGATTGCAATAATAACAATGATACCCTGCTCAAGGTTGTGTTCTTGTACGTTGCGAGAGGCAGGCGTCCCTCCGCTCCTTCCCTTTCGCATGTAAGTCCTCTGCTCACCATCTCTCATCTCTGATAACTTGCAAGACAAAACTGTTGTGAATTCTACAGCTGTACACAGTCATGCCACGCAGCCCTCCCTTCAAGGCCCCCTATCGACACAAAGGCGCCCGTAGCAGCACTTCCTCGAACAGCAATCCTCGTGAGAACACTCGTTCTACATCCTGCTCTACCACCACCTCATGGCGCTCTTCCGTGCGGGCGGCTCCAACTGCGCGGTCTGGGACAAGCAGACCCCAGGTCCAGATTCGTAGAGGGCCGTTCCTGGACGATAAGTCCCTTGACGCGCCTTCTGAAGCGAGTCATCACGTCGATGAAAACGATGACTTGCTGAATGAAGTCGTCATGGCTGTCGACTTGAATACTCGTGGAACAGTGGGTTGCTGTTATTATATTGCTTCTGAAGAAAGGCTTTATTTCATGGAGGATATACAGTATGGCCACGTTGATGTTGTCGACTCTTGTAAGTACTTTGTCAACCGGCATGGCTTGTTCTTGCTTACTGTGTCAAGTGAGGATATACATCGATCCTACAGTTATCCTAGTCTCCACCAAGATCGACGACAAAGTCATTGACTGTTTTGACCCTGATGCCAAGAGCAGCGACAATGACCAATTTCGCCTTCCATTTCTGCTCGAAGTCAGACCACCGAGCGAGTTCAACTATGATTCTGCAAAGAACAAGCTTGCGAGCCTTCATTTAGGAGAAGACGATAGTACCCACATCGAATTCAACATTCCAGGAGAGCTTGCCACTGTAAGCCATCCGGGAAAAGGCCAATCGGCAGGCCAGCAGGGGCAACTTCTCCGACTCGCAGGGTGGATTGATCTTGAGAGCCGCTCAACAGTACTTACTGACTTTTTGCACAACACTGTAGTATTTGCTAAAGCCAAACAGGTCGGATGCGCTGGAGCACTGATGTCATATCTGCAACGTCGACGAGCAGCAGCGTACCTCCCCGGTGATCATTCCGCAGATCTCATGTTCCGCATCTCGAAACTTGAAATGTGCAGTCTTCGCGAGACCATGTTCATCAATACCGATACTCTTCATTCCTTACAGATCATGGGCGCTGAATCACATCCACACTCGCATAACAAGGGGCCGACCAAAGCCAGCTCAGGCGACAAAGAAGGTCTTTCTATATATGGCCTTTATCATCATCTAGCACGAACGCAGCAAGGGAGGTTCCTCTTAAGACGGCAATTTCTACGCCCAAGCCTAAACTTGGCTGTCATCAATGAGAGACTGGATACCGTCAGTATCTTCACTCGTCCTGACAACGAGTCAGCACTACAAGCACTTGTTAAAAACCTAAACAACCTGGGCAACATGCGCATCACAATGGTCAATCTCAGAAAAGGAGCAAACAGCTCGACAAGAGGGACTGGAGGATTTGCCAAGAGTATCTGGACGTCTATCCGAGCCGTATGTACAAAGCATCCATCACGTCAGTGCCTTTCTTTAATCAACTGATTGTATTAGTTTGCCTTCCATGCCCTGAAGATCAAAGACACACTTCAGGATGTTATCGGCGGAGAAAACCTGGTCATCAGGAATAAGGTAAGCGCTCACAAGAGATATCTAGATGTGGTCGCTTTCCCACTCTAGGCCAGTGGAATTTAACTATAATCTCTTTACTGATTGCTGCAGATCTTCGAAAAGCTCGAAGGTTACCACTTGGCTCAGATTGGGCGAAAGATCAGTGAAACCATTGACTTAGCTGGCTCAGCAGAAGAGGGTCGCACTGTCATCATGCTTGGCATCGATGAAGAGTTAGACCAGATGAAGTTGACCCTAGATAGTCTTGATGACCTCCTCAATCAGGTAGCGAGAAAATTATCTGAGAAGATGCCTTCCGATTTGCGTAGGTGATACAGCTTCTCCTAAGAAGATGCTCTCCAGGTTGAGGCAGCAAAGAGTTACTAACTCAGCCAGGTGCTACTCTGAATGTAATCTATTTCCCTCAAATAGGCTTTCTCTGCACAACACCGATTGATCCAGATACAGGTGGTGCGGTCTACGATGGCAGTCTCGACCATCCTTGGGAGAGGATGTTTGCAACGGAAGAGCAGGTTTACTTTAAGAACAGCGAAACGAGAGAAATGGATGAACACTTCGGCGACGTTTATGGCATCATTGCAGATCGAGAGATTGAACTCAGCCATGAATTAGCCCAGTATCTGCTCCAGTACGAAGAGCTCTTGACTACCTGTTCTGATATCTGTGGAGAGCTTGATAGTTTACTAGCCTTGGCTCAGGCTGCAAAGATCTATAAGCTTTGTCGTCCCGAGATTACATACGAAAATACTATACGCATCAAGGGAGGACGGTAGGTTAAGATGCATGAGACGCGTTGTTTTGTTACTGATATCACCAGTCATATGCTCCAGGAGCTTTTGGCATCTTCTTTCGTCGCAAATGATACTGCAATGAAAGGAGGCGACGGCGACGGAGAAATCGCAAGCGAGCAACATGACCGTCTACTTACCAGCCCGACAACCCGTCAAGCGCATGCGTACGAAAATAGTCCGAGTATGCTCATCTTAACTGGTCCCAACTACTCAGGAAAGAGCGTGTATCTCAAGCAGGTTGCTTTGATTGTCTACATGGCGCACGTTGGGGGCTTTGTACCGGCAGATACTGCAAGGATCGGACTGACGGACAAGATCCTCTCCCGAGTTACTACGCGCGAGACGGTGTCTCATTACCAAAGCTCTTTTATGCTTGAATTGCAGCAAATCTCGCTTGCTCTAAGCCTAGCCACGCGTCGAAGCCTCCTACTTATAGATGAGTTTGGTAAGGGCACTGCATCAAGCGACGGAGCTGGCTTAGCTTGCGCAGTTATGGAATACTTGTTGAAATTGGGCAGCGAAAGGCCAAAGGTCATTGGAGCCACCCACTTCCATGGTATGGGAGTGTGCTCTAGTTACAGAACGTTCTGACGCGCTTAGAAATCTTTGAGATGGACCTACTTAAACCTCGACCTACACTTGGATTCGGATACATGGAAGTACGCGTGGATACTGAAGCGAAGAAAATCAATGACCAAATCACCTACCTATACAAGTAATACGTGTTCATGCATATCGCTTGCTAGGTACTAACTCTATCTAGCTTCCGAGAAGGTCGGAGCACATCGAGTTTCGGCACATGGTGAGCTAGTGCAGCGCCTTCTACTAGGTTGATACTAATGCCGACATTAGTTGTGCTGCCATGAATGGCGTTCCATCTGAGATCGTACAGCGCGCCGAAAACCTTATACTTCTTGCAGCACGGGGGGAAGATCTTGTTTCAGCATGCTGTCAAGTACCCGAAGATGAGATAGCCGAGCTTGAGGAGGCAGTAAGTGTGCTCTTGGATTGGGTGGAATTATCTAAATCCAGCTTAGGAGCAGGTCGCACGGGAATTCCTCAAAGCGGATGTTTACCGTAATCCGATGTCCGTGCTGTCCGACATACTGATAGTCTCCACAACATCATAATACTTACTCACGTGGAAAGAATACATGATGTGAGTTTTAGGGGTTGGAAAGGGCCGAACATATGCAAAGGAACGGGATAGGGCCGAGGCGGAAATTTTGAGACGTGGATACGCCCGGTAACATGTAGACAGGTATCTAGAGTCGATGAATGCATTCTGCAGGCTGCAAGCAGTCTGCTCGCATCGATCCACGTGTCAATTTGATTTACCTAGCATGCAGGTCGCTAGCCCCCGCACCCCAGAGAATACCTGTGAGTGTTCTAGTCATGGTTCTGGTATATCTTCTATGCGCGCCACCCAGGGCTTTTTTGCTTTGGTTGTTTTCGCTCCGTTTCAGTTGCTGGAAAGGGCGCTAACCAGGCCAAATGGAGCCTCGGCGGGCGAATTAAGGCTTATTCGGTTTCGATTGTTACAATTGAGTTCTGATTAATAACTCAACGAGAGGTGTTTACCCTATCAGGAAGATATCCGACGAGTTTGATCGGTACAGAAAAAGTTGTCTGGTGGGGACGATGATGGTTGAAGATATATTTCTTTACAATTAGTGTTTTGACAGGTCACGTGGCGCCAACTGGACAGCCACGGTGGAGGTAATGGGAGTTCTTGAGTTGCATTTGGATGTTGGGCCTGTAATTGAATTATCTCTGGCGGCTATGTCTTTCTGGGAAGGTGGTGTGAAAGCTACACGAGAAATACTACAAAATTTTCATCCACAACTGAAGGTAGACAACACCCATTGTTACAATTGAATTCGCTAGCCAAAACTTCCCTATTAGGATTTGGACCTCTGGTTGACTCGAGTAGAAATCAATAGCGATCGGTAAAGCCATGCATGTCGTTAAGCGGAACGGAGGTTCATGTGAAATTTCAACCCAGGATATCCAGTTTACCGCGCTTATAGTGTCTAACAGCGTCAATTGTCCCAGCATATTACCACGATCGGTATTATAGCATGATAGAGGGAAGTACCGAATGAGAACTGGCAACTTGGACTGTGGTAGATATCAACAGAACTCTATTTACACGCATCTAACGTACCATCCCTACCCTGTCCCTACTAATTAATTCACCTAACAGGCGCTAGAGAAGAAACCCCTGGCTCTGTACGCAGTAGGCGAAACGGAACTGACAATGCGAAAGTAAACAGGCCATCAACGGATATCCTCAAACGACGTTCTGGATCTTATTCCGATCCCGCGTTGGTTAGATGGCCTGGTGTGTCGTCCGTTGACTGCATGAAATATTGCGTAATAGGAGGTACTATGCACCGAGGTGTAGTTGTAATTATGTAGATCATTCCTCACTTGCCTTGTTAGAATGCTTGTCTTGTTAGAGGATGCAGAAAGTGAGGATACGAAGCCTGGAACCCGGAGTTGGGGGACTTGTGCCTTATACTACTAAGTACGACATGAACGTGGGTCTGTACCAGTAGGATCAATTATTCGCTCGCGTTGGATGCTATCTTTGGCCCCAATGTTCCAAAGGCTCCATGTCTTTGACTTTGCCGTACTGGGCATGTTCCTGAATCGTTCGGCACTGGATCGATGGATTCGAGTCGAGTCGTGATCCTGGGAGCCTGAGGGGCGGGAAGGGGACGAATGTAACGTCGCGCTAGTTAGCGGTCAAATGTTAGCTCAGCCAACGGCGGGAGAGGAACGGGCGGCTACGTACGCGCCATGCCGTTCCTCCGCTCAATCCACCACCGCGTCCTGATGTGCTGCGTAGTGCCCGCTTGCTCTTTGCGCAGAGAAGGCGAGGATATCGACTCGGCAGTTCTCGCACTACGGGCCTACATCTGCTGCAAGTCGAGTGGCAATTGACAGTACTACTCTAGCCCTACACTAGGGCTTCTCCATAGCCTCCACGAAGCTGCACGTATCTACCACGCGTCACCACCCACGTTGCAGCCAGAACGGAGCTTTGTCGGCGAGGACCTCATCGCATCTGCATATGTATCATGGCAAAGGCCAGGCCCAGCCTGTCGCAATGCCAACACTGCTCGAGGTGACGAACTGGCCTGGCTCTGTGAGCACCGCGTAGTCATCATTCGCACGATCGGCCCGCTTCAGCAAAAAACCCTGGCTTTGCCTGTTGCCGGATCCCTGCGCAGTGGGACCCCGCGAATTGCACAGTCTTGGTTAGTGTGCGACAACCAGCACTCATCAAGCCATTCATCTGACCGGTTCCCTGGACCAAAGCATCCTGACTAACCCTTCCATGGGCAGACTGTCCGTCCTACGCAACCTGTCCTACTTGCCTTCAGCCCTGAGAACTGCCAGACGTTGCCTGACATGTCCTCGTGTAGTCTGCACACCGAATGTCTTACCAAATGCCTGTTAAGTCATAGGCCCAAGGCTCAGCTGCTTCCGCCGTCATGATTGACAAGCGCTATTCTTTCTGTGTAGCGGGTTAAACAAGCTAAGTCAGCACTAGAACCCCCACGCGCCCATTGAGCGATGGCATCAAGAGCGACTGACTGTGGCATGCAGCAGTGGTGGCTGGATTCAAATGTTTGGCGCTGTGCTGCGAAGCCAATACTACTATGGAGCGCCGCAGCAGCATACCTAAGCGGTGACCCACTCGGTGTAACCCTCGTGGAAGTAATCTATCCATACCGTCCGGCTAAGTCTTCCCCCTCCGCCTCAGCACCAGACTGCCGAGCCTCAATGCAAGATATATCTGGCTTGCTGTATTTCGTCGCCCAAACGTATGGCCGATGCTGTGAGATTCCACAAAAGTACCTCCAGAGCCGCACATCAGGGGGTACATTGAAGCCATGTCATGCTCCGGTGTGCGCGGCATTTTCCCGTCTTCATCACTAGCGATACTAATGCGTTTGTATGGATTCGCATGCTCCTCGACTTGTACTAGACTTGATAGAGACAAGGAACTTGCCATGTAAGCCTTCAGCCCCATCCAAGCACGTCCGACATCGATGGCTGCACCAACCCCTGTCCCTGTACTCACAAGCATCAGCTTGACGCTACTCGACCGCCCCAAGTGATTGTCGCATGTACGCCTCCTGCAGGCTGGATCCAGCTATGATCCTTGCCGTATCCATCCTAGTTAAGACTCGCATTCTCCGTCGCCAGCTATAGTTCTATATAAAAACACATGCCGCTTAAAGGCTCGGTATAGTCATCCTTCAGTCACGTTGCTGTCGATACATATGCTCCAGGTCCCAGTTCAGGCATACTCTCCTCATCAACCACCACTACGCGAAATGGAGGATACCACATTTAGCCAAGAGACTACTTCGGCAGCTAGTGCCTCGAAAGCACTCCAAAAGCCCCGGAAGATGAGAGCTTCATGTGATGCGTGCTCTCGTGCTAAAGTGCGCCTCTCCATTCACACACTAGTTTTCAACCCGTTAACCAGCAGCAGGTCAAGTGCGACAAAGTAAGACCAACTTGTCAGCGATGTGGTACCATTAATGTTTGCTGCAACTACTCTCCATCTATGAGGTATGTCATCTATCCATCCAATATTGTCTTGCACTCATCACGCGCAGATTGGGTAAACCACGCAAGAACCGGAATCTGGATGGGACGATCAAACGTGAAGTATCACCTCCTGGCTCGTATAGACCCACAGGGGCTCAGTTCGATCTAATTCCACGCACTGCCTCTCATACATCTGAGAGTTCACCGGAGCCAATAGACCCCTTCTACTTTGGCCCCAGCACGCCGGAGTTTCACTATCAAGATGCTTTCGTCGCAAACAACTTCGGTGATAGCCTATCGCCAGCATGCTCTGAAGGAGGTGCCATGTCTTTTGTCAACGCGTGGGCCAACGATGATCACATGATGTTTGGAAGCCAGACGGATATGTTCATTCCAATGCCCCAGTATCTTCCACAACAACACACTCCTGTACATGGACACGTACGTTCTATCAGTACGCCCAGCCAACCTGACTTATTCGCATCACTGGAATCGCAACAACCTTCACCACACACAAGCCACCAGCTGCTGAGTGCGCAACCTAACATATTCACATCGCAAGAGACGGTCATTGACTCACCTTCGCCAACACTATCCGCAGCCTTATCAACACCTCCAGCCTGGGGAAACTTTGCAACCCACGACTGCACACTGTCCGCTTTTCAAACACTGAACAATTTATACGTACCACTCGAGTCCCAAACCTCTGCCATCGACTTCACCAGCGTGATGAGCGGTTCTCCAACACTTGAGTCCATCCTCGCCACCAATAAGGCTGCCGTGGATAGTCTGTATACATTACTAGATTGCGACTGCACATCAAACCCTCACTTCGCATCGACCATCAATCTTGCGACTATGAAAATCCTCTCATGGTTCCAAGCTGTTGCACGATCGCATGACCATCAGCGCGGTCTCCCATACCTCTCACTCGAAACTCAGCTCGAACTCTGCACGCGACCCCACACTTCGGACTCGGAAGCTGAGTGCGCCCAGCGCACCAGCCTTGTCCTTGCCGAGCTGTGCAGGATCGAGAAGCTTATTGATAAGTTTGCGGAGCGCTACTGCCGACGCACCGGTACCCCGGGTGACCTGGCCGAGCCGGATATCAACAGTGGTGTGTATCTCTCCATGGAAGCTTCACTCAGGACTCGGGTGAGGGACACATTCAGGATCACCATGGCTGTTGCACCCGAGAGTGTCAAGCGTCGCATGGCTTCTTCACGGACGACACAAAACAGAATGCGCGTCAATACTATGTGATGTGTTTGTCTAGAATCAGGCCATACTTACGCAGTGAGCTTTGCTGAATGTTTCTTTTTTCTCTCTTTAGGCGTCATTTACTTGATTAACGAACAAACGCATGTACGCGTCACGTTTTCAAGACGGTAAAAATGAGCGCAATTCTTTGTTTTTCTCCTTTCATTTCTCAATCTTAGATGCCGTTTTTTTGTTGCTTTCTCCACGTAGAGAGACTAGACAATGGGGGTTTCCCTACCATCCCCCCGCAACGGTTCCATCAACCACACCTGTACATTATTCCCGTAGAAAGCTCGGTTACTGTCCAAACGAACTCGCTATATTACAGCAGTGTGTGCGCTACGCAGTATGCATAGTAGTATTTTCTTCCTTCCTTATACTCGTCTGTCCCTTTTCTTCTATCTATTCCTCCGCGGCGACATGCGTACACAAATCCACAGACCAGGAACAAGAACAAAAAACGCCGAAATGAACAAGACATTCACAATTCTTACTTGCATCTGAGTGCAAGTGAGCAAGAAACCGTCCAAGTCCTGCATAACCACCAACCCCCCCTGCCTCTCCCCTTGCCCACCCACCACGCGTCTACACATATTCGCTATGAGTTTCCCATTCGGGTCTATCTCCGACTCCCCTGCCTTATGCACCTCATCTAGGCCCTACGCACCCTCCCCTTGCCTCTTTCCCTTAAACGAAGAAAAAACACCCACCTAGTCTCGAAAAAGATAGCCATCTCACCCTACTTAACCCTACTTAACCCCCCCCCCCCGGCTATTCTCGCTTTTATTTCCTCTTTGACATTTTTTTCTTACTTTCTTACTTGCTCTGGTGGTCTCAGGCGTGCACGCGCGTTCAAGGGGCCCCACTTGCCGTTAACCAGCCGGCTTTTTTTTGTTAGAGGAAGGAAGGAAGGAATATCGGCACGTTGCATCATGTCAAGTACGGGGAAAAAAAAGAAGGGTCCATATGGCTAGACCGTATTGCGTGTATAATCGTGCTATGGAAAAATGACGGATTGGGAAGAAAGAGAGAGAGAAAGAAAGAAAGAAAGAGAGAGAGAGAGGGAGAGAAAAAGAGGGTATGGGCTCCACAATTCTCTGCGGTAGGTTTTCTTGTGTTTTACCTACTTTAGTACTTAGCCGGGGCATGCCGAGGAGATAGGGTCTTTTTCTTCTTTCTCTTTATCTCTTTCGAGAGTAATAGTAGATATGCGTATGCAAATGATTATTATTACTGTGCATTATTATTATTATTTTCTCCTAGAAGGAACAGGAGGATTGGGAGTAAAATGGGGCCGCCCCACTAGGGATTAGGCGTCCGATTATTTTTTTCATGTGTATTGCTTGGATGGGGGTAGGCAAATTAACGAACACGTAGCCTTGGGTTTGAATGGTGGCCGTAAGACTTGATTCTAGGTTTACCCGGCAATTTGGGTCTGGTTGGGTTGACTCGGCACTTGGGGCGATGTGATTGACGAGATTTGCGAAGTGCATATTTTTGGGGGGCCTGGCGCTTGAGGTGATGTGTGAAGACTGGTTGCGTATTTGCGTGCTTGGCCGAGGCTGCTGCCGCTGCTGTTGCTATTGTTGTTGCTGCTGTCGGCAGCAGTGATGGCGATGCAGGTCGGCTAAGCAGTAGGGTACCAATGTAGCCAGTATGAGTCGACTTTGCAGCAACCGATGACTTCTCGATCCGTCGTTTCGTCAAAGTCATCATGGTGAGACTGCTATGCCCTGTAATCCGCTTGCAGGTCCCGTCCATGCACTCACTCACTCACCCACCCACTTGTTTCCCATACTTCTCCATCTACTTAGTCATGGTGGGAAAGTTCTCTCTACGCCCCTCCCGCCAGCTGTCTTGACCAAGCTTTGGCAGTATGGGCGGGTGGCTCCGCGCCACATGCGCATCCTAAACATAGGCCCCCCTAAGATGAATGGTTCTTAGAGAGGGTACAAGGGTAAGCGTTCCATGGACCAGTGGAAGAGTAGGCTGCTTCCTGTTGCCTTCCCGAGTGGGACTGGATAAAAAGATGGCTGAGACATGCATGGCGCATGTGCTGAGGCGAGTAAGCCACATAGTTGACCCTTCATGTTGCAATGGGGCGCCGTAAAATCACAGGGAGGAGAAAGCAAGCTGCGAAGGAGGGTGGGCGTGTGTGGGTGTGGGTGAAGGTGCTGAGAGTGGGCTTGTGGCGCCCTGGGTCGTGTGTTGCGAGTGGAGAGGTGATTAGCGGGCAGCGGGCAGTTCACGCGCGACAACGCCTCTACGGGCCGCCTCGCGGATCTCCACTACGGCCCGGCTCTGTTTCCTTTTCCACCGCCCGCCTGTCAAAACAACGTCTGCCAAACATCCTGTCAACCAGCTGCAAACAACTGCACTCTATACACGTCCATCGCCCTGCCTCGCCGATCTGAACCTGCCCACTGGCTCCGTCTGCCCTATGATCGCCCATCTTGGCCAAATCAATGTGTGACGCAATCGCCATAGTATCCTGTCGTCTTGGATCCTTAGCATCACCTCAGCCCCCACACCCTATGAACTGAGACCACCCCGCCGCCGGGATTGGGGAGCTGTCTTGCCGCCTGCCTCGATTCTTAATTGGGACACAGGCTGCCTGACAAAGCAGATGCTAGGCTCTGGACTGTCTTGGTCGGCGGGGCAAGGCGTCCCAGTTACGTACGTAGCCATTGGCCAAAGTAGATTGGATGGATGGATCAACCTTGTGTCACGGCTCAGAGGACAAGATAATGCATACTACTGCGCATCAGAGACGAGGCGTGTCTGGTACTACAACAACAATGCGTCAGGCCTTAACAGGGCCATTATGCGGATACGGCATAGTTATTATGTGAGCCGCTCTATGAGCTGGAATCCCAGTGCCATGGATTCACACACAGCCCAATCTAGCGAAGAAAAGAATCGGTCCCTGAATAATCATGCGTCTAGGTTACATTCCGCAAATGCTGTCTGTTCCCTTGAGCACGTTCACTTGGCACAGCAAGCCTTTCTCACGTGCTCTACATAGCCGCCTTGTCTGACACGGTCCCCTTGGGGCGCCTCATCTCCCGTCAAGGTTGCCCTGTTGGGCCAAATCCTACCCTGTGCTATGATGTAACCCAAGGGTCCTCGTGCTGTACGCCAAGTCGCTGTTTGTGCACACATAACGTGAATCCTATGAAGACGTTGATCTGAGGAGAAATGACTTAGTGGGGAACCGTCTACCGGGAAATAGGTTCAACGTGCAGAACGATTAGTGGTTGGATAACGCTGATTCAAAATTTCTGTCTCAACCCACCTTTGGATGCTGTTGAGAGTAGTAGAGTGGTTTTCATGCACAGTGTAATCCATTGCATTTTCATAGCCAATTGGAGAATCGCTCCTTCGTACCGAGACCTCTGATAAACACCGCACGGAAGAGAAGATTGTCATAGATGCCACAAATTGTTGATTAGAGATAAGCAGTTAAGCGAAGAGGTGATGAACAAAACAAGAGATTGGCGGTGGAGCTCATCTCAACCGTCGCTTCCAAAGGACGCATCCGAAAGAAGAAGTAACGATGTCAACCTCAACACCCTTGCAGGAAAGCCAAGACGAACCACTTCCTTTCTCTGATCAACCGTCTTTCCCTCCTCGACTTCCCTCGCATACTCATCTCACCCATACACCGCTATCTGCGTAAGCCAGATGCAGTCAACAAACGCAGTCACAAACACAAACATGCCACACCCGCCGAACCCCATACTTCTTATATGCACAATATGCTAGCTCAGCACCGATGAACAGCGTGTCGGTATCCCACTTTCTTACGGGAAGAAAGGAAGGATAAAATAAGGGTGGGCGGAACACGTGGGAATACCTGGAAATGCTTGCAGCTTACACCGATGTCAACCCATGTAAACAAGTCGTCATCAGCCTTATTTTTCAAGGCTTGCTGCAGTCCCTAGCTTAGAAATCCATAAGGCGGTCAAAACCACTCGGTCGTACAAGAGAAGGATCACATCTTATCGCATCAAGAGACCGTTGACTTCCTCTTTGCGGACACGCTTGCATTAACGCGTGGGGGAGTCATTAAGCGGAAAAGTACTCCACACCAAACACTGACGATCTCTATACTCGCAAGGCACATTTCCTGATTCGTATGATTTGAAGTGGCGCTGCATCGGTGCTCGCTCATACAACACATAGGACTGTCTTGCTTACTACCATCCGATGTTCGTCCGTATCACCAGATTGTCAACGATACATTTGGCGCAAACACAAACCACCTACACGGCCTACACAAGATTCACAATGCCCAGTGCCACCAAGCAAAGCCCTTGCTAGCCGCGAACGCTACATGCTTCCCCACGTTTGTTAGCGGCATGCCGTCGTCATCCTGATCGTCGCGAAACTACACGCTGCTAATGAACCCATGTCGCATCCTCGTCGCGTCCAACATGGATCATCGTTGTAATACGCATCGTCTTCTCATCTTCATCAAAGGAGCAGCATCGTGATTAAGCGTTCAATTTCTCCTCGCTTGACCAGCGACATTTCTACTGCGCACGTACCGCTCCACGTGGATAGAGCTCGCGCAGGTAGTTGGCTGTAGCGGAGTGACATTTCATTACGTTATGCTGGAATACTTCCGCCAATTTGTGAGCTTCTTGGCTTAATGTATCTGAACGCATACTCTATGTTATTTTACTTCCAAGTTGTTCGTTGGGGGAGGCAATGTGGGACTTCGAGGCGAGCATTCCATGAATTGAAGCTATGAGGACATTGTGGCAGGGCCTCTTAATCTGATGTGTGGATGTACCTATGTATGCAATAATTTTGTTGGAGATGTGCTTTTGGAGGAAGGTAGAGCGTGGGCATGTGCAAGAATGACAAGGCTAGAGGATAGCAATGTCTATTGCGATTTCTTATAAGTAGCAGTAGATACATTTATTCCAATGTAGTACAATGTCACTTGCTACTTTCTTTACACCAAAAGTCCTCTATTTCTTTAATTCTTTAAACACCACTTTCCCCCCCCCCTTCCCTACGTCCCCTCCTCCTCCACCACCAACCCCAACACCTCCTTCTCCCTCTTCACCCTCAACTCCTCCCTATAAATCTCCACAGCTCTCTCCCTCCTCCCCACCGCCGGCTCCATCAAATACCTGGGCACCTTCCTCGGCCGTGCCGTAAACCTTGGTGGCTGCATCTCCAACGGATCATCTAGCTCAGACTCCGACTCAAACTCCTCATCATCTATTCTTGCGTAATCCGGGGGCGGAGGGAGTTTTACGCGCGCATACACGGCTTGTTGCATGTCGGTCGTGTATGCGGTTGCTAGTTTGAGTTTGCGTTCTAGCCGCGTTATAGTGTCGCGTTTTTTGGCGTCGGCGTTGGAGGTGTGGTTGAAGGAGTTTTTGAGAGAGGCGTAGTCGCGTTCGAGGGTGGAGATTTTGCCGTGGAGGGCGGTGGGGGCGCGGGCCCAGGGGTCGCTGGTGAAGGTGTGGTAGGTGGAGATGTAGGTGAATATTTCTTTGTCTTTTTCGACGAGGGCAGATTGGAATTCGTGGGTGCGGAGGTCGAGTTCGGATTGTTTGAGGGCGAGTTCAGATTTCCATTCTGAGGCTTGGTATTGGGAGTCTTGGGCTTGTTGGGTGAGAAGAGTAATTTCTGCTTGGAGGTCTCCTAGTTGCGAGTGAAAATCTTGCTGGGTCTTTTGGAGCTGCAAATCTTGCTTGTCTTCTATAATAAGAGCTTTCAGCTTTTGTTCGGTAGCTATCCGCTTTGCTCGCTCCTCCTTGTAGAGAGTCTCGATTTTGTCACTGCTGTACAGCGGGTTTGTCGGAAGCATTAGACCGGGAGTCGGTGGAACTTCCTCGTACGATTGCTCTTCGATCGCCTTTTGAATGTTTGTGATTTCGTATTTTTTATCCTCCAATTGACGCTCCAGACTTCCATTCTTCTCAACAAACATGTTCACCAACTGCCTCACATGCAACAGCACTTCGTTGGTCTCAGCATCATCTGCGCAATTTCTTATGACCTGATCGAGATCATTAAGATCGATGGCTGCGCCTTTAAACAATATTTGTATCCACCTTGCGATGATTTTGCCCATGTCACATACTGACTTTTGTAGCCTTGTAAGTTTCCTGTTGCTATCCAATGCCTCTTCTTCAGTATTTGCGGCGTGTTGAGTCATATCTACTAATTCATTGTCTTTTTTCTGGAGCTCAGTTTTCATCTTGGCAGTGTCATTTTGCTTTTCCACAACTGTTGCTCGGAGCTTCTTATTCTCTGTTTCTTTCGTTTCATTCTGTGATGTTTCGGCCTTAATTTGCTCCTCGAGTTTTCGACACTTGGTGGAGAGCGCATCGTAGTTTTGCTTCCACGTTTCCAATTCGGCCTTGTAATACTTCAGTTTATCCTCTACGGCCTTGTCATGCTCCATGCTAAAAGCTTCGAGATTTCCATTCTCAGCTACTAGCTCGTAGTTACGCTGACGCAGGCTCACCACCTCTTCTTTGGTAATTTCCAGTTCTTCGCATCGTTCCTTCATTGCTTCTTCCTCTAGGCGCTCATATCCGTCTACTCTTGATGACTCTCCCAAGTCTGCATCTTTTCCCTGGTTCCAACCACCAAGTATCTTGGTCACATTATTCTCATGAAATTTCGGGCTATCCGTCAAATTGAAGGTGGAGCTCCGCATTTTATGAGCGTCACCCCTTTTTTCAGTCAACGAGCGAGACAAGTGTCCACTTTCAGTACTATCATTTGTGTAGTTTCTGAGAGCACTACTACTGCGTGCCAGAGGAGACATGGGCCGTGTGTTATGCATGGAGGATGTTCGCAGTAAGGGACTTCCCTGGCGACCGAAAGGCTCAATCTTGTCATGTTTCTTCGCTTGGGACGATCTTGTAGGTACCAAATAGCTGGATGGACTGTTCTGTGATCGGGGCTTCAAATAGTTCGGATCCTTTCTGTGATCAGTCTCATCGAGCACGCTGGTTGGGCTTTCTATGCCAAATGTAATTTCATCCTGATATGCCTCGCCTTCTGTCGCATTTGCTCCTTCGCGTGGCAACGAGAGGGGTGAAGTAGCCTCTATAATTTCCTCTATACAACCTAGTAAGGTTGGTCGCCTTCGCGTCACTTCCTTGCCAGCGCTTGGTGGGTTTGTGGTCTCATCTTCGTACAAGGAGACATCCTTCTCGAGGCCGTTATTGTTCGACATAGTTCTCTGGAGTTATCTCCAATGCAAGTTCATCTATGAAACCGATACAGATTACCCAGCCTGTGAACGTAGAGAAACTCTTCGCCATGACTAATCTAATATGACTAGTTCATTGTTTCGGTGGTTTTGTTTCAAAGCCCTTTCAGAAAAATCAACGATCGACAGATTGTGCAGTGAACTTAGGTGAGCCTCAAAGGCTTGGCTCTTTCCGGAATGCCACACTACTCTTTATTAGCTTGTTTGGTGCAAGCCCCTGGGGTCCCCGACAGCTGAGAGGAAAAGGGGTTGCTCCAGTTTCTGATGACCTTTCGAGAACCACAATCACAACATGTTACCCACCAAGAAGTCTGCTTTTTCTGACGTGTATGGTTGGTACCTTGCATCTAGCTTATTGTCTACTCGAGACAAGACATTCGTTTTCGAATCGTTTTCAGCCGGCGCACCAAGTACTTGCTAAAGTCAACGTGATCATGATCGTCGCAGCCCGATAGAATATACTTAATACTTCCATTCTCTAAACCTAAAGGAGCACCATTTCCCATATTAAGTCTGGGACCTCTTACGGTAGGCACTCGACAAATGCAAGCTAGAGAAGTGCGGCTTAAGTGGCAAGGTGTGTCAGCGCGCCACCAAGTTCATAGGATAGTGTATCACAGCTCTAGCTGACTGAACTTAGAAAGGCGCCATTGCTAAATCCCATTTTTCTGAATACCATCGTGGTCAGCTTTTAGCGTAATTGAGAGTGGCGCGCTGTGAAGAACAGGGACGAGCCCAGTATGCATGGAGGATGAACATGGGAAATCAGACATCCGAAAGTCAAACGGTCGGCTGGTAGGCGAAGAAAAGAATGGAAGGTGGCTAAAGTTTCTAGCTTTACATGGCTTGTTGGATGTCCCCCCTCGCTGAGCGCAGATCGACGATTGGCTGAGCTTGAACTGTTGTGACATGTCCTTGCTGACAGATGCGCTCTTATCCTCGCCCACTCATCTCAGCGTAGCCAAAGATCTGATGTAAGTACGTTGTTGT